GGTCTTAATAACCCTAAAATAAACACCTTAATGAAACTGAATGAAACTTATACCTTTAAGAAGGGTTCGGAGAGTAGATTCCGAATATATAATTGTTGCCTCGATCCCCTTACTAACTTGACGTAAAATATAGAGAGAAGACGAGAGAGAATTGTAGAGAGAGAGAATGGGAGAGAATATGGCGGTGTCTATCACCGCCATTATATATATATATATATATATATATATATATATAATTTTAATTTTTTAATTTTTTTTCCAATCCCTAACCGCCATATATATATATATATAATATTTATATATATAAAATATATATATATATAGTTTAACTATTTGACGGTTTTTACCCTTCAAGTTAAATTTCCAACTTTACGTCAATATAGGTATAAACATATTTTGACGTAAAACTAGTCTAGGGTACAAATATATTATGCATAATTCTACCAAAATTCTCTTAACCCAATTTGTACGAGTTAACGAAAACACGGATATTATAGCCACACTCACAAAATATATATATATATATATATATATATATATAGGGGCCTATTGAAGGGATAACTTATTAGTTTGTGGTAACTGTGAGATCCAATCTCAACCACAAATCAACGGATAAATTAGAAAATTAATAATTATGATAATTTGAGTTAAAATTATAATTAGAGGACATTTTAGGTATTTTTAAAAAACTCCTCTCTCCTCTCTCATCTCTCCGACCTCCAATCTCCGGCCTCCGGTAAACATTAATCCGGCAGGTACCAAGTATTCACAAAGATACACAATGTGATACTCATTGTGATACACTGTGATACCAACTCAAACCTTAAAAACAAAGATACACAATGTGAAACCCATTGTGATATAATGTGATACCGATTTCATCAGAGGCTGGAGATTGGAAGTCGGAGAGATGAGAGAGGAGAGATGAGTTTTTTAAAAATACCTAATATGCCCTCTAATTATAATTTTAACTCAAACTACCATAATTATTAATTTCTAAATTTATCCGTTGATTTGTGGTTGAGATTGGATCTCACAGTTACCACAAACTAATCAGTTCTCATTTGATTAAGCCCCTATATAGGGGCCTATTCAAGGGAGAACTGAGTTGTTTGTGGTAACTGTGAGAACCAATATTAAACACCAATCAATAGATAAATTAGGAAATTTATAAATTTGGTAATTTTAAATTAAAATCTTAATGCAAGGATATTTTTGGTATTTTAAAACTCTCCTCTCTCCTCTCTTCTCTCTCCGGCCACCG